GCTGCCTCTCGCGTTGGCTGTGTTGACAACAGAAGCGGTAGGAGGGGGAGAATACAATTTCTGAGGCTTACAAGAAATGCAATCTCTCTCATCCATTCTTGCCCGTAGGGGGAATTGTGGCCAGCGTACGTTGGATAACAAGGCCCTACCGGATGCTGCAAAGTTTGACCAGGCAAGGCAATGTGGGCAGAGGAACCTATAGGAGGGATTTCAAGGAGCGTCTGTGATTCTCCCACCGCCGCAGAAGGGATCTACCAAGTATTAGGGTTTTCCTGACAAGATCTGCTGGAAAATGTCTGCCAGGGATGGAGGAGGCAGCAGAACCGCTTCACCCCGCTATGAAGAACAGGTGTTCACCAGTGGATGTCTCCATGAGCCCTCGCTGCCTGTTCCGCAAAGGTTTCTTCCGGAGGTTCCTCTCTCCTAGACGGGGAGGGTGAGGGCGGCGCACAAGGGCCTAGAGCAGTGGTCCCCAACGTGGTGCCGGTGGGCACCATGGAGCCTGCCAGGCTATTTCTGTGTGGCAGCCCCGCCCCCAGGCATGTGGCGCATGGGCAGTGCTGGACCCTGGGCATGCAGCGTATGGGTGGCCCGCCCCCGGGTACATGGCGCAAGGGCTGTCCTGGCCCCAGGCGCGCGGAGTATGGGCGTCCCCACCCCTGGGCACGCGGCCCAGGAGCGGTGCCGGCCCCGGGCGCGTGGCGTATGGGCAGCCCCACCCCTAGGCGTGCAGCACAGGAGCGGCACTGACCCTGGGAGTGTGGTGCATGGGTGGCGCCCGCAGTGGGCACGCGGCATATGGGTGGCCCCGCCCCCGAGCATGGGTGCGGCTCCGCCCCCCGGCGGTCGGCCCCGGGCATATGGGCGTCCCTGCCCCTGGGCACGCAGCACAGGAACGGCGTCGGCCCCGGGCATATGGGCAGCCCAACACCTGGGCATGCGACACAAGAGCGACGCCGGCCCCAGCAGTGTGGTGCATGGATGGCGTCGGCACCGCCCACGGGCGCCCAGCGTGTGCGCGGCCCTGCCCCGGGCGCCCGTTGGCCCCAAAAGGTTGGGGATTACTGGCCTAGAGAATTGCTGGTGATGGGTCACCCAAGGGTCCCAGTATGGCTAAGGAAGTGGTGCCTATGGGCTGGAGGCATCCATGGAAGTTCAGACCAGCAAGATGGTGGCTGTGGCGGTCTCTCAGGAGTGGTACCAATCTCCTCAGAGACCTCTGGAGAGCAAAGAGTCTCTTCAGGGACAGAGAGAGAACCTTGCCCAGATCTTCGGGAAACAGAGGCAGGATCTTCGTCAGAATCTTCCTCTTGCAAATCACAGAAGCAGCAGCAGCTGGGGGTGAAACTGTTGCTACGAGGCAAACATGCAGAGATCTGCAGGTCCTTGGTACCAACAGCATACTGGAGCTGAGCCAGGCATCTCGGAAAGCAAACCTCCAGTGGCACTGAGCATGCCGGCACAGTGTCTCACCCTGAGCTTGACGACAGCGACTGAAGGAGGCGGTGGGACCGTGAACCGCCAGCGCCCTGAGGGGAACCCAGATGGAGCCCAGAGGCTTCTCCGCTACCAGGTAAGAAATAGCAGCACCCTTCCAGCCACCTCGCTCTGTCAACAGTCCCAGTGATCTCGGTGAGTCCACGGATTTATAGCCCCTACGTTCAACTGTGCCCTCGGTCCATGAGGGATCAGACAGCTCACGAGTGCCAGGCTGGAGAGCAGCATGTGACAACGTGGCTGGGGCAATCAGAGACGCTGACTGTGAGGTAGATTTCCTACCTGGAGAACCTGAGAGATGGTCTCTGGGACCCTAGGGTCTTCCCTTGAGACACGCTCCAGCAGCATGGCTCAGAGACAGAGGAAGCAGAAGACTTATGTAGAGACTGGCACACGGGGGGAGGGTGCCCTGGCCAGGGTCAGGGGTCAGGCGCAGTGACCTTTCTACCATGAAAAGCCAGAGCTCGATCTCCCACTTCCGTCTGGCTCTGATCTGTAATGCCAGACAGAAGTGGCACGTTTGGGAAATGTGAGACCTGAGGCAACGGATGTGCCAGGAGTGGCGGTCACTCACCGGGACTGCTGGCATGGCAGGCAATGCTTGAAACCAGCAGAACGGGAAAGAACGGATCTCAGGAGGGGACAGTCTCGAGCTCCGTGCTGTTACACAGCACAGTGCAGCTGAACTGAGCAGCACGCATACGAGGGCCGAACGGACACTGCCGCGAGCGCTGTCCCAGCAAAGTGCGGGGCATGCCCAGGCGCCTAGAGGTGAGCACCCGCAGGGACACTATTTGGAAACCATTTCCCCTTGAAGATGGCTTCAGAATCAATGACAACTTCCCATGAGAACTAGCTAGCTTCCCGCACTCCCAGGCTCCATGTCTGCTGGCGGTCGGGTTCCAGAGGAGTGCCCTGAGGACCGGTTCTGTTCAACATCTGTATGAATGACCTGGATGAACGCATGGGTTGCACCCTCAGCAAGTGTGCAGATGACACTAAGCGGGGGGGAGAGGCAGTTACGCTGGAGGGCAGGGAAGGGTCCAGAGTGACCTGGACAGATCAGAGGATTGGGCCACAAGAAATCTGATGAGGTTCCACAAGGACAAGTGCAGAGTCCTGCCCTTGGGATGGAAGAATCCCAAGCATTGGTACAGGCTGGGGACCGACTGGCTAAGCAGCAGTTGTAGTAAGATGAAGGCCTAAAACATAAGCCCAGGTAGCACAGGCCGGGTCTGAGGCCTAGCTAACAATGGACAAAACATGGCGAACACAAAGCAAAGCTAAGCTGTGAGCCAGAGGCAGGCCCCTGCTCATAGAACTGGGCACAAACAGGTCTGAGGGTGCAAAACACTGCCTGGTACTAGATCCAGGTGGAGAACAGTCATTGGTGCTGGTCGTAAGTGGAAAGCACATGGTATCACCAGCTCATTAAAAAAGACCTTGGTACCCACTCCCCACAGATACAGACTCAGGTTCAGGAAAGGGTCTAAAATGACAGCGTGATGGATAGAGACGATCCCATCAAACCACGAGGCACAGGGCGACGGGTGGTATTTAAGTAGTGTCAGAGGGTGGCATCCCGATATGTCAGCAGTGAGGTGAGTTGTTTGAAACCTGTATGTAAGGTGGTGTCTTGGGGGCACAGTCTTTGTATGACCTGGGGGCAGTGGAAATTTCCCACTGACTGAGTCAGTCCATTTCTACGGGGTACATGTGTGTAGTGGTTCAGTACAGTCTACTGACAGCTATGACTGGACTTCACTCTACAATAAACCTGGCCTGGCACCTTTGATTCTTATCTGGTTGGTGGTCTCTGGGGGCTCTCCTGGGGTCTGCTGTGGGAGCTAAGTGCTCAAGTCGACAGCCCACATCACTGAGCGCACACGCAAGCAGCCTTCTGGTTATCACCACCGATGGAGCCAGAGACCTGTGAGGACACCTTGGCAGTAAACCCTAGTCCCTCCTGAATACCTGCAGCAGTTCAACAGAAAAGGCCCTGGGGATTCCAGGGGATGAGAAGCTGGATACAACTCAACTGGGCGCCCTTGTAGCCAAGAAGGCCAATGGCATATTAAGTTGCATGAGGAGGAGCATTGCCAGCAGATCCAGAGAAGTGATTGTTTCCCTTAATTCAGCTCTGGTGAGGCCACATCTGGAGTGTTGTGTCCAGTTCTGGGCCCCCCACTACACAAAGGATGTGGACGCATTGGAGAGGGTCCAGCGGAGGGCGACCAAAATGATTCGGGGGCTGGAGCACATGACCTACGAGGAGAGACTGAGGGATTTGGGTCTGTTTAGTCTGCAGAAGCGAAGAGTGAGGGGGGATTTGAGAGCAGCCTGCAACTCCCTGAAGGGGGTTCCACAGAGGATGGAGAGAGGCTGTTCCCAGTAGTGGCAGGTGGCAGAACGAGGAGCAATGGGCTCAAGTTGCAGTGGGGCAGA